ATCATAGATGCCTAAATGTCAGTCGTCAGTGGTTTTTTTTCATAGATCTATATATAATAGGCATTGATGTATAATAGGGGATTTGAAATATGGTCACGTGATTTGAAGCCAAAAATACCTCAAAAATGGCGGATCTCCGCCCACAATAGTGTTGTACCTACGTCGACATAACATATCGACATAGGCAATTCAATGTAAATATAAAATAATAACTTATCATTTAGTTCAATTCGAAACAAAGAAAAAAAAGAATTGCTGAAAGAGTACAACTCATGGTAAAGCATTCACATAATCATAATCTCACTAATAATATAAATACCAATACCATTGAAACTTTCGTTCAACGATAACTTCATATAAGATTCTTAAGCGAGTACTGTATTGAAAAAACCTGACCCTTTCAGAGAATGTTAGAACTTATTTCATGTACCAATATAAAGTCAGACAACTAAAAATCAAACAGTTATACCATCGAACACCGTGTGTTTTCCTATAATGTGAAACAGTATGCTGGAATGGGGACAGGGGTAGGTCAGAGTGCATTATAATGAATAAATGTCAAACGTTTTGCTGATAATAATAATATATTCATGGCGAAACAATATATTTTTTTTAAAAAGCTTTTTTTTGGCACATTTTATTCCTGCTTTTTGCCGTAATATTTATATCTTATATCTAAATATCTAAGAATAACAGTTTATGAGAACTCTCATTTTCATTTCATTGAAAATTAGGCCATTTTCAAAAAGAGTAGGAATTACGTTATCTTGAAGTCGAATAATATTCAATGTTCTGTTCACACAATCTTCTTCAATATGGTTGAAGCATATTGTTAATACCGATGCATGTTTTATATTCTCCTTGCCTATTTTTCCATCCACAAGTCCTTTAGGATTTCATTTTTAGGAAATCTAAAATCAAATTTAATCATCATTCTGCGCAAATTAAATAAAGTATACAAAAACCAATAAAAATATTGTAGTTGTGCATTTTAGGACGTTATTCAACTTTCATGTTTGAGAGTTGAATAAAGGGCTCTAAATCAATATTTTCATTGAATACAATTAAATATACCGTAAATGTTTGTTAACCAGACGGCTATGCCACTTATACATACATACACATTTATTTCACTTATTGGCAAAAAACTCTATTAATATCGAAACAGTTCACTGTAACACCGAAAATATTTCCAATAGCCATATTGTTGACAGATGATCTATCAAAAACATGAGCGGAATATGTCTCTCTTATATGGCGGAATGGGTCTCAAGGCGGAGCTTGGTGACGTCATGATGAAAACGTTACCAGAAATTGAAGTTTATGATTTATGCTTATCTCTTTTTACATATGAATTTAACAACGTGTAAGAATGAGACAGATAATGTTTTTTGATGAGGTTCATATTTGTATAACCAAAGTTTTGCATATGCAACTTGCGGCGACTCCCCTATTATTCATTTAAGGATTGGACCAACACAATGTGTTGGTCCAATCCTTAAATGCTCGCTTAAGAATCTTAAATAAAGTTATCGTTGAACGAAGGTTTTAATGGTACTGGTATTTATAATATTAGTGAGATTATGATTATGTGAATGCTTACTTATCAGTTATACTCTTTTAGCAATTCTTTTATTTCTTTGTTTCGAATTGAACTAAATGATGTTATTATTTCATATTTACATTGAATTGCCTATGTCGATATGTTATGTCGACGTAGGTAAAACACTATTGTGAGCGGAGATCCGCCATTTTTGAGGTATTTTTGGCTTCAAATCACGTGACCATATTTCAGATCCCCTATAATACATCTATGGTCCAATCATAGTGTGTTGTATTTGTGTTTGTTATTAATTTAAATTAAATGTGTTCATTTAATTCTAATAGTATACGCTACAACTAATTTTGAAAAAATGTTCTGAATTTCATGCCAGTTGGACATGTCATTTTAGTGACGGTTCCAAAACGATACTGAATAAAAAATATGTGTTAGTTTATGGTTAAAGCGGAAATGACGGTCAAATGATACCATAGTCAAGTTTCAGGGTTTCATACCTGAGAATCTCTTCCCAACTAAATGGGTAAAATGTTACTCGTTGTTGATTATTCTAAAGTAATCATGGAAATAACATTTAGTCCAAGGGTTAAAAATTAAAAATTACTAATTAAAACCTGCTCCTAAGTTTAACAAACACTATCCTGAAAACCCTAACAAAATCGGTTCAGTATCATTTCGGACAAACATATTACGATGACTCAGTAGCCAACCAATGTAATGTTTACGTTTACTGTCGCTACACCGTGAAATCTATTTCGTTTTTATCCCGAAATAAAATGATTCTGTGTTAGTAATGCGTTATGAGGAGGTTTTCAGGGTTGTAAATTAGTCAAGTAGAGTTCCAATAAATTATATACTTCATAGAAGACAAAAACAATAACTAATGAACTATTCCAAAAAGCAAATTTTGAAAGCGGATACGAACTCATACCACGTTATCGTTTTTTCATGGCATTACGCCAGGTAATTCTCGTCGGGTGGCACGTGCGATGCAAAAAGTGCCTACAAATTTAGTAGTGTTTCATGTGTAATATATTTTAAATAATAAAAATAAATAATAAATATTTACATGATTTCTTTTAAGGTTAAAAAATGATATCTTTATTTTTTTGTTTTTACTTTATACCACAGACCTACTATAATATGGACCAGAAATACCTACAAAATAGGCGTGCATACCTACTAGAAACCGAAGCCTAAAAATGGCTGCCATTGCTAGGGAAGTACTGTAGTCAAAACCAAAAAGTATCGATATCGATAGCCGAGTTTTATACTCGTCAAGTACCGTCATTATAGACACAATTATAGAACAATAGGTTGCGGTCACCGGTGACCGCTTGGTGTTTGACAGTTTAAAAATCATGTACTTTGGGTGTTTTTTTTAAGGTACAAATCATCGAATGACTTCTCGCGCTCTGGGTAGAGCGGGGGAGCATGTCAGACTTTTGCTGGCTAAAACCATACGTGTGTTATTCAGTGACAGTTGCCCTTTTTGTTTTAGGACAACACCCTCCTTTTCAAAAATTACCCACAGCCCTAGTAAGCGGGCATCGCCCGTGCCGGGTCCCTACGGTTTGAGGACATTTAAAAATTGAAGCGCATGGATCACATGTTGTTGACGATTGATCTCGGTCCAGTTAATTACCAGATGGCGAGCATCCCATTGTTCGACGTTCACTAGCCTGGACCATGGCCCGGCGTGAAAGGTCATTGTCATCTATTGCTTTCACGAGGACACTGCGATACTCTGCTCAAACGGGGACAACTCTACCGGTCTCCGGGCGGTGCATAGTCCACACAATGTTGGCACCGGGGCGTTTTTTCCGCCTGAATCCGATACGGGAACTTTAGCGCTTGTGTGCTCGTAAAAATAAATGGTTAAAAAATACCAGTATGTGTTGTAATTGTTTATTGAAGGATGATACTGCAAAGTGTAATGAACAAATACGTGGCGCTTTAAGTGCAGGTTTGATATTTTCCGTCCCAATGACTTCAAGCCACTTCAGACGCAGCACTTCATTTTTAGGGAGTCTGTGCAAAAAAAAACAAACATTATTTCAGTTTTGTGCATTTAGTGGAACAAATCATAGACTGAACTAAATGACAGCACCTACTGTATGAAGAATTGATATTATTATGTTTTGGTACTATCCCTATTTTTATTTCTATTCTATAAGATTTATTTTCAAAATCGTCTCTTCAAACCCTTTATGTTGATACCTTACTCAACTGGACTCCATAACATACAAACTAAAGATATGTTACTTTCTTATCGATATGTTATTAAATAAAATACATCACTATTGTATATCGTCATTTGTATTGTAAACAAAACAAAAAACAAATTCAGCAAATGAAGTTAGTTATCAGAAACAAATTGAATGTACTTTTGGAGGCTTTTATTCTATATATAAAACAAGGCTAGATAAACAAGAAACCTAATAGTATGATAAGGTTTTTCTTAAAATACGGCTACTAACCTGTACATAGTCAAATGAGATTGATTGGGGTTTTTCCTTGCCCCACACTGAATTATTGAACAAGTAGACATATTGAATATGCACCACTAGACACTCACAGAACAAAACAATTTAGTTGGGAGCGTTTTTATTGTTAAAAATCGCAATCCAAATCCAATGTTGTTATTCGCTTGACACCTGATGTACAACAAAACTATACGGCCTAAAGATGGCGGCTGGCACGCGAGGTAGGTACCTTGTCAGAAATGTAGAAATGTTGCCAGGCAGAGAATAAACAAACAATATGATGTCTCTTTCTTCAAATGAGGTTACTCATTGATTAAAAAGAGACAAAGTGTGGTTTCATATTTCTATATCGATTTGATATATATTTGTATAAGCAAATAAGCTATAGATCATTACAACGCATCTATATAATACTAAATCTATGCTTTATACCTGGCAAATACTCCTAGAAACCTACCAATGGCAAGTACCAATGTGACTTTTTCCGAGTTATATGTACTTTCTAAGATTATTCAGATACCACTGACAAACGGTGAAGGAAAACATCGTGAGGAAACCTGGGCTTATAATTTCTAATTATAAGTTTGTAATCGCCAACCCGGATTGAGCAAGCGTGGTGATTGGTGATTAATGCTCAAACCTTCTCCGTGTGAGAAGAGGCTTTGCTTAGCAGTGGGCATTTATAGGATTTTGATGAAATACTCCTAGAAATAGATTTCACGGTGTATACTGAATAAATATTAATTTTCTTAGCTGCATACTAATGCAGCAAAGAAAAATAAGATTTAACTATATAGCTGTGTTGACTGTACATATAATCCAATGCACATACGTTTTGATGATGATTTTATGTTTTGATGATTGTATATTGAGTTTTTCGGGTATTCAGAAAAAAACTTGGGAAATTTATAATTCGAGGTGGTAACATTGCATCCACATACCACAGTCAGTCAGTCGCCATTTTTTTTACTTATACTAACGTCGCTGCTTGCGTTGCGTGCGCTAGTCGGTGACGCGTCGTGTTGTAATTAAACTTAAATAACGGTTATTAAGAAAAAATAATCAACTACTTAGCAGTGTTAGCAGTAGGTGCGTATTATTTTTCGTTAAATGAAAATCTAGTCTTTTATTACTTACTTATCTCACGATTTTTCGTTTTTTCGTAGAATGCAAATGCAAGCCATGAATCAATTCAACAATCGGGGTTTTGGTGGTCCACCGCAACCACAAAGACAGGGTCGTCGTGGTCATAATCGCGGAGGCTTTCGCAATACGAGATTTGATCACAATATGCACAATGCGCAAAGGAATATGAATCACGGTCAAGGAGGTCAACGGCCTAATGAGGTATGTATGATTGTATTATCAGTATTGATATCAATTGTTGAAATAATACCAATTATTTGATTGGCTGGGATTATGCGTGTAAAATCTGCACTCAGCTACGGAGTAATGTATCTAAATGATTCTTGATAAAGTGAGTGACGGTGGCGAGTTACCGACGCCATTTTGTTCTGTTTTAGCTAGGCATTTCGGTATTATTGATTATGGGGCTTCATGGTATATTCTAGTATATTTTATATTTTACCAGATGAAATCGGTCGGCAATTTTTTTTATTTGTGTGTAGCCATTCCTTTTGAGCCATTTCTTTCACTTTCGATGTTCTCACAGTAGCAGTACCTAGTACATAATGTATGTCAATATATGATTTATACCTACAGATGCTGCGCTAATAGACTCGCTTGTCTCTGTCCTGCTGTTAGTTTACTATTGATGTCGTAATGAAAATGAATATGTTTTAGGTTAAACCAGCTCAACCTGCTGAGAAACCTCAACCACAAAACCAGGCTCAAGTTAAGGCCCAACCACCCCAACAACAGCAACAGCAACAACAGCCGCAACAGCAGCCTAAACCTGAAGTTCAGCAGGCACCACCTCAGGCCCAGCCACCCAAGCAACAGACTCCTCAGCAGCTTCAAGCAAAACCTCAGCAGCAACCCCAGCAACAACAACAACAACAACAACAACAGAAGCCGGCTCCTGTTGCTCAACCAAAAAATGATTCACAGGATCATGTGGATAAGTCTGTGAATGTTGAGCAAAAACCACAAAACCAACACAATAATCAAAATCAACAGCAGAGGGTAAGTTAACTATCATACAGTACCATGCAACTATTTTATAGCTTTTATTTTATTGATATAGAGATTTAGAATATTTTTTTTATCCTCAGAATCTTAATGGCAACTTTGGAGGTAACAAGCAACAGGGTGGTTGGGGAGGCCAAGGTGGACAAGGCAACAAACAGGGTGGCAACTTTGGACAAGGCAATAAACCATTTGGTGGTCCTAAACAAGGTGGTCCTGGTGGACCTCCTCGCAATCAACGTCAAAATAATATGCGAGGACCTCAGCAGGATGGAGGAAAACCAGTGCAAAGGGAGGTCAGTAATAAGTTAATGATAATGTTGTTTTGTAATTTACTAATTAATTATTGAGAAGTGTCACTGTTAATAATGAAGAAGAGAATGCTAATGATGATGTTAATTTCAGGAGCACATGTTGGCAAATAAACTTAAAGATTTGATGGGTCCCTTGATTGATTTGCCTCCAATTGATCAAACCGAAATGAAGTTTAATGGTAGAAGTCGGTTGTACATTGGTAATCTCACTGGTGATGTCACTGAAGATGAAATTACCAGTTTGTTTTCTCCCTTTGGTGAAACAGCTGAGCTATTTCTTAATAAAGAGAAGAACTTTGGATTCATTAAAATGGTAAGTTTGCCACATTTGACATTCAACATAACACAAGAAAAAGAAAATCATAAATCACTTTGTAACATTAACAATTTTAATAAAATGGTTCTTTGTTTTTTTTGTAGGACTACAGGGTCAATGCCGAGAGGGCAAAGAGGGAATTGGATGGGAAAATGAGAAATGGAAGAACACTGAGAGTAAGATTTGCTCCTCATAACAGTGCTGTCAGGGTGAAAAATCTCCCACCGTTTGTATCAAATGAACTTTTGTACCGTGCATTTGAGATATTTGGAAAAATTGAGAGGGCATATGTCCGAGTAGATGAAAGAGGGAAGACACTTGGTGAAGGAGTAGTAGAATTTGCTCGTAAACCTAGTGCTTTAGCTGCCATCCGTAATTGCACTGAGAAATGTTTCTTCTTGACTTCGTAAGTTCTGTTTATTTCAGTATATACTACGATGTTTAAATATCTTAGTCTAATGGTGGATGAATTTAACGTTCTATTTAATTATTTTGTTTTAGATCTCTGCGTCCAGTTATAGTGGAAAGCTTTGAGGAGCCTGACGAGTTTGATGGCTACCCAGAAAAGAACTTGCCTAAAAAGCACCCTGAATTTCTACGGGCCCGTGAGCTCGGTCCTAGGTTCTCTGAGCCTAGCAGCTTTGAACATGAGTATGGTACAAGGTGGAAGCAATTGCATGAGCTTCATCGCCAAAAAGAGGAGGCACTCAAAAAGGAATTAGCTGCAGAAGAAGAGAAATTAGAAGCTCAGATGGAGTATGCAAAGTAAGTGTTCTAATATTTCATGGATCAAATTAAATGTAGCTTAAAGGTGGACAGAAGTGTTAATAGTAAAGTGTATGTAGATATGAGCACGAGACGGAGTTGCTCCGCGAGCAGTTGCGGCAGCGCGAACAGGACCGCGAGCGACAGAAGCGCAGCTGGGAGCTGGCCGAGCGCGCCGCCGACGAGCGCCGCGACGCCGAGCGCCTGCAGCTGCTGCGCCAGGAGGAGGAGCTCGCGCAGCGCATGCGCCAGCAGGACGACGAGCTGCGCCGCCGACAACAGGAGAACACACTTTTCGTGCAGGTGCCTACCTCATTATTCTCATCTTGTGTATTGTTACTTTTTGTGACTATTGTGACAATTAATGCACTGATTGTTTGTTGGGCAAACGGTAGCAAATTTTCAATGTATATTTTTAACTCATCAATGTTATTTTATACATGTATATAATTTCTTACCATCTGTTAATTTTTAACTGTCTATCGTTTATTTAACAGGCACAACGTCTGAACTCAATGCTGGATCGCCAAGAGCAAGGCATGTTTGACCAGCAGCAGCCAATGGTAAGTTTGTATTTTATTTAAAATTTCTAGGTTCAAATTCCAGGATATCTATAAAAAATATGAGATTGAGAGATTTGTGCTGTGAAAAATGTTGATGTCTCAACATACAATCTTAGCATATATTTATTCAAGATTTTTTATTCATGGATATTTATTTAAATATGCTCTATAACACTAATCATAGGCAACAATGAATTTATATCCTCAAACTAATTTGCTACTACTCATTACATTTTTGCATATTTATCGATCTACTCTATGATATAAGCGACTAAAGGAAAATTACTTTCTAGCAACATGAACCTTGATATACCTGAAATCATCTGACTTTTTGCTTTGCACACAGGAAAGCAAATATACTGAAACTATTATTTGACATCTGACTTTCGACATATTTATTTTAAACCAGTATTTACTAAGGCACAAAATTTTCGCGACCGTTTGTGTTTTCATCGTTACGTGATGACGGCATCACGCGACAAGGGAAATACGATTTAGGTACCTCTCACTTATTACAAACTATTAGCGAGTACTGTAGTGAGTGCACATGTCAATGTGAAACTTGGTATTCCTGCAAACGATTTACGGTTACGTTCTACAAAAAGAACGATCCTTTAAACATCTGTGTAACCATGAAACTAAGTTGATGGTAACAAAATTACGGAAATTAGGAAAGGAACGTTATCTATGAAATATTAGTCCATTTAGGTACAATACGATAGTTTATTCATAGACGTTAATTTATATATACCAACCTAATAGTGATGAATTCTATTAATTGAAATAGAAATTAACGATTTCTAATGACGACTATACTGTCATGCATCGTCATCATAATATCTCGGTCGTTTAACACGTTAAGCACGACGTTGTCCACCGCGACCGGCGCGGCGGTTAGCGAAATATTTGCAAGGTTTTCAGCGAACGTAAAAAACCTTTGAAAGCACTCTAACCTAAGTGATGGTGTCAAAGAAAAAGTGGGTCATTACTGGAATTAAATAATTTAATATAAGTCGATTATAAACGATTTTACTCTCGATTCGAATGATCGACTATTTACGTTACACAAAAGTCGTAGTCGGTGGAGAACTGATATGAATTCTATATCAAATGTTGGATTATTGCACGAGAAATGTTTGATTAGTAATTTATTATCCTTTGGTCGTTTGGAGATTATATACAGACACATTGAAGAGGACCACTATAAAAACAACATTTGAGAGGTTAAAAAATTTAAATAAAAAAAAATTACAAGATGTTTTCTCTTTATTAAAACCTGAGACAATTACTTTCATCAAATTTGTAAACAAATCTGTGTAATAAACAATTCTTTGAGATTCCTATTAAAAATAATAAAAAAAGAGTTATTGGCGTATCATTTTGACAATGTCATTTCATTGATATGCCATCCTATCCATTGTCTTTTTCTGTACTTATTCAATAGTAGGGGGGGGGGGGGGTTTAGTTTTAAAAAGTAATTTATATAGCACTGAAAATTTTATAATAGTTCTCCTCTTATACTTATGAGCAGAGAGTGTCAACCGCTCAACTACCCTGTTCTAGTCAGGAGATACGGCACGTGAAAGTCGCCAATAATAATTTGACTATAAGTCCTTATAAACAGCGTAAAAAAATTGAAAAAAAAAAATTATTTATAAGATTTTAATCAAAGATAACATGGTCGGATATTTTGCAAGCACATAAAGATTTTACTCTTGACATTGTTTTATGTACAAAAATATCATACTACTACTAGCGCTATCTTTCCATACGAAATAGAATTATCATCTGTTATATACAAATTATAATAAAAAGTAAACGTAACAAAGGTACTAGTTTGTCAACATATCAATAGATGGTGAGTCTACTGCGCGTATATGCGCTTCATGCTCTCGCTCGTATCATCAAGACAAACGCAACAATCAGCAATTACGGCGCCGAAGACGCACGTTTCTAATACGCGCGTTGCCTGCGCGTATAAAAAAATGCGCCGTGTGCTTTGAGAGATACGATATGACCAATCACTACTGTAAAAGAAAAGAAACATCCCCCCATCTCCAATACGATAAAAATGACTTTTAGTGTTTATAACTACATAATGCTTTGCTATTTATTCCCGGAAATTTTGGTCCCTAGTAAATACTTCAAAACATTGTCACGAACGTCAGCGCTATTATCAATATTAATATTAATAACTATTATTACATTACGTATTCTTGCGGTTCATTTAACAGTAAAAGAGCAAAAGTGAAATTTATACTATTCGTCAGTTCACCGTAGACAAAGTTGGTATTTTTTTTAAATACACATTATTCCTTTAGTGATATTCTATTAGAAAGTATTGTGATTGCTTACTTAGGATGGAGGCTACAGAGACCAGTACGACATGCCCCGTGGGAGTTATGATGACATGCCGCCAAATCGCGGTTGGGAAGGACCGCGCCAAATGGACGATTACCCTAACAAACGTCGCCGTTTTTAAAACAGCTCTTAGGAGCAAATAGTGTGTAAACTGTAAATCCGTGTTTCCGACTGTGGAGCATTTTATACTGTTTCGTGGTCGTTGGTTGGGTGCAAATAAAGGGAATATGATAAAACATTCAATCCCAATTTTGTTAAAATAATTAGGTGAAAAACTAACCAATGAAAGCAAATTTCGGTTTGTATACATTATGTACTGGCTAGTGTGTTTCATTACGGTTTAATTTACCATTTTAACGATAAAAATATATCTGCGCGATTTTCATCACAGAAAGCGCCAAATTATGAACCCATTATTTGTCCTAACCAAAGGCTTTAAATTATTATCACATACATTTTAAAATGATAAACTCACCGTAGAAATGAATTACGTTAGGCATTACTTTTAAGTCTGCTAATAACGAGGTACCTCGTTTTTTACTGTTTCGACATCATATCACTGTGAATTATTCCACTAGAGAGACAGCTATTTTCACAATAAACATTCGTCGAGTTAATAGTTAACTCACGGCTTAAAACATTATCTTATACCTTTTGTATAATTGTTTTGCCATTATACAATTAAATTGACAAATTAGGTATAATGCTAACATTCCTGATTTTGCACCACACCAATATAAGTATACTTACATACTTCATTATGATTGCATTAAGTGTGAAAATTATGTTTACCCCTGGTACCAAGGGGTACTCTTTAATAAATAATTTTATTTTTAATGCTAAATCACTGGATACCACTTGTAAAAATTCTACACAAGTGTTTTAGTGTAATAAAAAGTACTCTTAACAGTTTTGTAAACACAATTTTATCCTTAGTTTTAAAAAAATCGTTTATGAATTCCTTTTGTTTTTCTGATCACCTGTCTTCTGAAACAGGTTTTCGCATTAATCTCTCATAGGACCTAGATATATGGTACGATTGGTTTGTTTGCCCAGAATACACCCTAAAGAACTCTCAGTTCTGTAATTTCATGTATTATGTACTATACTTAAACATATTATATATTATTATACTTATATTATTCTTATATACTGGAGGCGTATCGAGGTGTTACCTCTACTACTGCCAATATTGCAATAAATAAAATATCTTCAAGTGGCATCAGTTATCGATTACTGAGAGTGAAAGCTAATAATTTTATTTATAACTTTGAGCATAGTGAATTGAGTGTGAAGAGATTATTTAAAAATTTGGTAAATTAGTTATTTTAACTTCTTGAATAAAATACATAGTAACATTTTTTTTGAATTCTTATTTCTGAATAACCCTGCCAAAAATAATTTCATATTTGTTAACTATATTGATTTTGTTTCACAACAGATTAAGATACACCCTCAACATTGATTTTTGTAATTGGAAAATAATTAATAATATAATTATGGCTATGAGAATTAGTGTAAAGTAGCCCATCCCTCTTACTTTAATGAAATTGTTAGATATGAAATACAAAGAAAAATACAAACAATTTATTAATTTTCTATTATTACAACAGCCGGGTGGGTGACCGCCTGTTGCGCAGTTTTGCGGGTTGCCATTGCCGCATCGGTCAAAAATGACCTAACGCATTTTTTATTGGAATTACTGTTGCATTGAGTTTATAAATTCGGTGGTGATCAACCCCCGTGCTTCGGAGGGCACGTTAAACTGTCGGTCCCGGTTGTCATAAGAACTATGACAGTCGTTATGGCTAGTCAGAAGCTTCAAAAATCTGACAACGGGTCTAAATTAGAATATGGTAGAACCTTTAGCAGGTTGTGGTGAGTTGATGGCAGTCGATCCATGTTAAATACCAACTTTTAGCCGAATCTGGTTGAGACTTAGCGCCGCTCTCCAAACAGTTGGAAATAAGCCAGGGGAAATAAGACTGGTTTATTGTATTTATTTTATAACTTAATCATGGACTACGAATTAAATAATTTCGAGTAATTTTAGTCACTTCAGTCACTAATAGATTTTCACCACATGCATTAAATAACTTATTATGTTTTCGGCTTACTCAAATAATTCGACAAGTTTCAAGCCATGTTAGAGGTTCATATTTATGAACAGCATTCCACGAGGCGCCGACCGTCTGTCTCGCTGTTACTGGTTAAACAGTTACGTTAGTAAGTGTTTAACCACTAGCAGCCCGAAAACATAATAATTAATTTAGTAGGTATGTCTCACGAAAGTTATAATATAAACGCATGCATTGAATTAGAGACATTATTATGTCTCAGGGTTTCATTTGGTCTTATTGTTTTATGTTTTTATTGTTCAGAAAGCAACCGATAAATAATTGCACCTAAACGGAATGTCCTAATGAACGCGGATAGGAATTCATCGTGCAAATCAACGAGGTTGCTATTTTGTGCCAAAATTGGAATAGAGAAGATTAAGTTTCAATGCGATGGACATATTTAGTAATACGACAAATATTGTATGCCATTGGTGGTATTCTAGTCTAAATTTGACTATGAGCCGCCTATGCACCCCGTAAGATTCGAATCTTGCGCCAATTTTTTCTCTTTTTCCTTTCAAGATTAAACGGCCTTTTTGATTACAATAGTTGCGTATTCGCGTTCTGCTACGATGACTCACAGAGATTTTTTAGCATCCAAATGATTACTGATTTTTGTTGCAAGAAAGAACCAAATCTTATTAATAGGTAGTTTGTTCGTCGTTCACGTGAAAATATACATCGTGAAACCTATTTCGTTTTCGCCCAGAAGTAAAATGGTTCTGTCTTAGTAGTACAATAGTTTTACAAAGAAATAATATGTTTAAAAAAATTAACTGGTGAACCATTGCAAAGACCAAACTTTAAAATCGCCTACAAACTCATAGTACCTACATCATCAAAACATCACGCCATAATAGAATTCTCGTCGGGTGGCACGTGTGATACGAATAGTGCCTCCAAATTTACGTCTAGTGTTTCATGTGCATATTTCTATGAAATTCTTTTTGAACTAAAAAAATGACATCTCTTTTTTTTGTTTTTACTTTATACATTGAAAGTACTCCTTATGGCAAATTGTTTTGACGCGGGACGAAAACGAAATAGATTTTACGGTGTATATTTATATGACACTAGCTTTTACCCGCGGCTTCGCTCGCGTCACAAAATGATAAAAAGCCAATGTGACATATACCAATACACACAGCGCCATCTATACCAATACTTTTGTTTTCCCTTTGGGAATATCAAATTTTTCCGGGATAAAAAGTACTAGATAAGACTTCTAACTATACATCTTCAAAAATTCAAAACAATCGGTTTAGTAGTTATGGCGTGAAAGAGGAACAAACAAACAAACAAACTCACTTTTCGATTTATAATATTAGTAAAGATATATAAAAGACTTGTTTAAATAAGTGTAAAATAGTGAGTTGGTGAATGTAGATCATGTTGGTTACTTGTTTCTGAATTGCTTGCTGTTCGTTGTGGACGATAGAGGTTAATATTACGCTGTATATTTTGCTTCAGGGGACCATTTTAGTATGCGTGTAACGGTATACATCAAATCAATTAAGAATCGCTTATTAATCTTAAGACACTTAATCTTAAATGAATTCATTCATAGCTTCTGCAGATCTGCTTGAACAGCGATGAACTATTGAAATCACTATTTAAATAGGATTTACATAGGCCTTGAATTTTTATTTACTGGAATCTCTAGCGAAGAAACTAATGGTAAGCTACAGGTTAAAAGGTTTGTGACTTTCTAGGTACCTACTAATCCAAATATAAAAAAAAAAAACTAATTGAACACGTCTTATACAGTACAACCTTCTGTCAAATTTCTTTTATTATTTCAATATTATTATATTTTGCAAGTAAACTAGAATTAATCAAAGGAATTTCACAGACTAGACTCTGAATATTGTTGGTGTTTGTGCTTACGTGGATCTATCAGAACTAACACAACTTAATAATTTCTTTTACTTTTTGCTATAAAAAAAATTTAAACGTTCTTTGTCATAACACGCGACGTCTGTCATTAAGCCTCTTGTACACAATGTAATGCAGTTACATACTGAAGTGTATTTTGTAGCGTCATAAAAACGTTAAGCTTTTGAGCGTCGTAAGTATGTTTAGGCTTGGCAATGAACGTGATATCAATATGTGGAAATAGCTTGTGTTTTATTATGCAAATTATCCAATATTTCCTTTCCAAATAAACAGAGGCGGACAAAGATTCTAGTAGACTAGAACTTCACTGTCTTTTTTTGTTTTGCTAGAAACTAACCTTTAGTCTCCCTCTTTTATGGCTGATGCTTCTCTCTCATGGTTCTGCCTCTGATACAATGTAGCTTGAGTCTCAAACGTTCATATAATGAACGAAACGCTTGAATCTAATAACATTTTCCATTTAATCTGAATGTGATAGGCAGCGCTAGGCGTTTATTTTTTGTATGGTAAATTAGGAATGACTATCCTTAAATGTATAATTGGTGTAAATACGGTGTTGATATTAAAAACAAAAACTACGAGACGTTTAAGTATAGTAAGTTGTTTTGAAATACTATTGTATTTGAATTAAAGTAGAGATCTATTGTCCTCCTTCTGCGAAGCAGTCATGCTAGTTAAGAAGGAGGCGAGCCGCGTGAGGGTACGAACCTCTTCACGCCCCAGCCGTCGCGGGAGACGCATCGGGGATCGCGAGACGATCTCTGTCTACCGTAATCACGGGCCTGCGGACCCCTAGTAAGGGAGGCTCGCCGCCCAATCAGAACCAGATCCGAGCATAAGGCCCGTAGCGTTCCGCGCGCGCCTCAAAAAAAAACATCAGACTACTATAGATGGGGCTGATTAGGGCTGATGCCGATACGGAGCCGCGGATGACATAACAGGTTTCTGGGGCTCCGGCTCGAAGTGCAGGAGTAGGAACAGGGTGGGTTTTAGTCAGTAAAAATCTGACATTCCTTCTCGTCTCACCCAGGCAGGAGAAGTCATTCGATGATTTTCCCCCCTCAATAAAAATGATCTATTTGACCCCACGTTGTACCTAATGTCGACACAGACATGATTGGATTTGCAATGGAGATATATTGTAGGTTAAAAATAAAAGCTAATCCCTCAATCGGCACAAGTTCCATATTTTTTTACAATTTACTATTACAACAGCTTTTATTACTTAACGAATCGATTGACCGATTAAACGCCAAATCGAATTAAAAAAGAAGAATCTACGTTGACATTTGAAATCCTGGCTTAAAAGGATTGTTTAAAAATAATAAAGGAACTCTCATTTATATGAAATTTAAATCAAAATAATAGTAAAGAACCGAAGTGGATCAGCAAAAAATTGATACTGATTGTTTCAATAAAATATACGACGACACGAGCTCATTTCCTACACTCGTACAAAAATTGCAATGAATTGTCTGTAGAAGTCGCCACGCTGTAATTTTAAGAAATGGGCCGGAATAAAATTTAGATATTAGGTAATTAATTGATCGCAATATTTATAAGGTATTTAAATCCCGATGCTATATTTTAGGTCGTCACAGTGACATGAAACATTAATCAGAGATTTAATTAAGCATAAATATATGACTATCTTACATAGGTGCACACAACAATAATAGTAACGATATTTCTACACGACACGTTTTGTTACACATATTTATTTTGAATATATAGCAATAGAGAAACACATCATTTCTATATTTATACATATTTTTCCTTACAGGCGTAAATTGTGAGAAAAAATCTGAAGCAGCCAAATAACTTGAGTTTAAAGATATCAGTGCTCATTTTCTTCTTATTTTACTACACATACATTGGAAAATATTAAAAGCAGCAATCTGACAAATCAACTGTAAGATATTTATAGTTCTTTTACTAACTTAGTATAACCAATATCTACATAAAAAAGGAAATTGGCACTGATACAGAACTATTGGTAAGTATTTAATTGCCGTGCATAGACACGATTATTCAATTAAATACAGGCGACCGCAATTAATCTACCACAAAATCAAATTTATTTATTAGATTTTCAATTTTATCACAGAACAATGAACTTCAATAGTCTTTTAAAGAAATTTGACAATTTGTAGTAGCTTGATGTGTTGTTCGTGAAAAAATAAAGTCATAATATGTTGTCGACAACATCGTATTGGAGACTCGGTTGCCAAAGAAGAAAAAAAAAAGTCATGTCACAAGTATACCATTTAGTTCTAATTTTCATCAAGTTATGTCTTTTTCATTTGTGAACATATGAGAACTTGCGTTAATATGTCATGCTCTGAT